TATATATATATATATATATATGTATAGTGTGGCATTAATTCTACCAATTTCAAGAATGTGCTCATGTGTTCGAGCACAAAATTTTTAATAACATTTAGAATCTTTACAATAAACTTTAGCTAACATAAACTAAAGTGTTAACATATAAAATTTGTCCTAGATTAATATTTAACATAGAATTAACTTTTTAAAACTATAGGCAAGTACTTAACTGTTTATGTTTTTCCATATCTAACACCAAAACATCAATTATTACACAGGTCACCTACTTATGCAAAAGGCATGAAAGACTTTGGTGGAATAAATGTAAAAATAAATTTGAAGTGCTAGATATCTAAATAGATAGGCATTAGGCAGCATGCATGTAAATGCCCAAAATTAGTATCTTAACTGTTTATGTTTTTCCATATCTAACACCAAAGCTTCAATTTTTACACAGGTCACCTACTTATGCAAAAGGTATGAAAGACTTTGGTGGAATAAATGTAAAAAAAAAAAAAATTTGAAGTGCTAGATATCTAAATAGATAGGAATTAGGCAGCATGCATGTAAATGCCCAAAAATTAGTACTAAATTGTGCAAAGGGAGATGCATTTGGGCCATAAAGCTAGAGCTGATGGTATCCGGAGATGTTTCTCGTGCTTAACTAATTGAAAAACGTGGCTTTAAAACCGGTAATGCGGATGGGGACACCGGCGGCGTACTGCACCCCTATATCTCTTCTTTTAATCATCATGCTGACTCGGAACGACCGCGACTGTATTTATTCTTTTCTAAGCCTCTCATTTTTTTAAATTATTTTATCGAATATAATAATGCCAAATAGCTATAAAATTTGTAAATATATATATTTTTTTAACCCTTCAAATTGTTCCCACTACTTTTTTTTTAAAAAAAGTATTTACATAAATACCACACTTTTTTTATATATTTATATACTAAATTTTCATGTTTAAATATATAATGCTTAAATTTTTATTTGTAAATGGTGTAGACATGAAAAATTCGGATCTGTCTAATTTGTAAAGAGAAAGTTATTAAATGTTAGCTATTTATTAATTTACTTTTATGTACCGAATCACTTCTAAATAAAAATAATCTAAAAAAAACTTCACTATAATATTAATAATATTCACCATTCCAACGATACCATCTTACTGAGGAGAAAATATTATGTCTAGCATCAGGATGTTCGGACGGCGGAATGGATCACACCACGAAGATATGCAAATGGTGCGGTGTTATTCATGCCCTTGTTTGGTCATCCATTATCTGGACGCAATATTTTCTCCCATTTGAGACCAATAGCGACCTAACTCCTATGATCCAGGAATCCGATGAAGGGGAGGCCTCTTGGGGCAAAAGCTAAATTTGGAAATACCTAATTGGTGTGTAAGTTTTATTTTTTGAATGGTGAGGGCCACGCCAAAAAGGATTTTGTTGAAAAGGAAAATTACAAATTTAATAGAAGGGACTCTAAAAAATGAAAAATTAGTATGTATGAAAGAGCATCATAAGAATGTATTAAATGAAGCCTTCTCTAACTTGGTGTCGTGGTGTAGTTGGTTATCACGTCAGTTTATTTTGTTTTTTTTGGGTTCGTTTGTCTAATAATATGGTTGCTTTGTTTAGAGGTTTTTTTTTTTTTTTTTTTTGGGAAAATGTGATGGCTACACTGAAACTTTATTGAAAGAAAATAATAAATTACAAATATATTTTATAATTATTCTCAAGTGTTTGATGCTATTAATAATATTATAAATGAATACAGTACGGATTAGTAATATATATTTATAAATATTGAGTGTTACGTAATAAAAATGCAATCTTGAGTTAATTAGAAGTTATCAAAGATTTTGAGGGTTTATGATTTCACATTTGCTTCCGTCACCAAAGGATCAGTTTCTTTTTTTTTTTTTTTTTGTCAAGATTTAAATTCTTATTATTATTTTTCTTTGTATTTAATGAATGCAACTTGTTTTTATTGATTGATTTAATTAATAAATTTTGTATCGGTTTGTGCGCCAATATAATACTCTTGCCTTTTTATTGTCTTCTTTTTCATAATTGATGTGTGTTTGAAGATTTACGGTAGTAAAGTGATCATTTAGCGTCTTAGCGTTTTGCGAAAGACTAGCACAAACTCAAATAATTAGAACGCTGGCTCTTATTATATATTGGATCAATGGATCGTTGCTTACCTAAAGCATAATCAAATCACATTGATACACGTTCTTACTATTTTGTTCTCGATATAATCCCTTGGATTAAACTCCCAATCTTCTTCTCAGGTTTATTATAAATTAATTTTAATATTTTTCATTTTTATGTACGAATGATGGGCTATTCTCTTTATTGTCTTCTTTTTCATAATTGATGTGTGTTTGAAGATTTACGGTGGTAAAGTGATCATTTAGCGTCTTAGCGTTCTGCGAAAGACTAGCAGAAACTCAAATAATTACAACGCTGGCTCTTATTATATATTGGATCGTTGCTTACCTAAAGCATAATCAAATCACATTGATACACGTTCTTACTATTTTGTTCTCGATATAATCCCTTGGATTAAACTCCCAATCTTCTTCTCAGGTTTATTATAAATTAATTTTAATATTTTTCATTTTTATGTACGAATGATGGGCTATTCTCCTAACTTCAAATGTATTTAAAATGACCAATCTTCATTCAAATTATTGAAAATCTAAAATATATATATTTTTTATTTTGGACATTCAATTTTACTCTTGCAAATTGTAATGTTTTGTTTTCCTATTCTTTCATAAAAATTAAAAGGAAGATTTACATACTTCCCGCTCAATTCCACTACATTTACATATATAACACTAAAACTTAAATTTTTACATTTATGTAACCATCCCTACGGATGAAAACGTGCATTTCACCTTTTAAGAATCAAAATAGTTATATTTTTTATTTAATATGAAATATTAGGATGATATACATGTAAAAAACAAAATTTAGGTGCCAAAATATGCAAAAGTTGTGCGGTTTGTATGTAAAAGTTGTAAAATATGAAGTCTTTATCAATAACCTCAAGGCTATTAATAACTAGATCTACATTCATTAAAGTTTCATGGGACGTACTCATGAATTCCACTACATTTACATATATAACACTAAAACTTCAATTTTTACATTTATGTAACCATCTCTATGGATGAAAACGTGCATTTCACATTTTAAGAATCAAAATAGTTATATATTCTTATTTAATATGAAAGATTAGGTTGATATACATGTAAAAAACAAAATTTAGGTGCGAAAATATACAAGAACTGTGCGGTTTGCATGTAAATGTTCCAAAATATAGCCTTTATCAATAACCTCAAGGCTATTAATAACTAGTTCCACATTCATTAAAGTTTCATGGAATATACTCACAAGTAACTCTAATACATTTAAGCCTCTATATTTGGCAAGAGTAATGCTACACTATTCATCCTAAGCCAGAGATAATACTTCACAAGTATTTGACAAAAAAAACTTCAGTGCAATACACAATTATGACCTATTTTGAGAATAATAACAACAATAATAAGCAAACGGTAACCCACACATGTCAAATTCAAAAAATCCAAAATTACAATTTTATCATCATAAATATTAAGCACCAACTAGCCTTTCAGCACGGACACGTTCAGGTATCAAAACATTAAAAACAAGGGGGTCAAGGAATCAGGAAACAAAATACAAGACCAAGTTTCATATACAATAATATTTATTGGTCTAGAGGTCCCCAATCCTTTTCTCACAGATCTTTATATTAAGAAACAAAAAAGCCTGGAAAGAGAAGCAAAGAGTACTAATGGAAACCACCATCACTCCACCGAGAACCAGATTTAACGCCCTTTCCCGACGAGCTGTGGCGGTGCTTATCATCTTCGTCAGAGTCCTCATCCTTCACATCGTCCCACCCAGCCCAATCATCGCCATTTTGACGACTCTTCCCAGGCCCGCCTTTCCTATCCTTCTCGTCCCAGTCATCCCACGTGCTCGTAGAATTGTATTGTCCCCTTGAATGTTCGTTGGGCAAGCCACCACTGCCCTTCCCTCCAAAGTCATGATAATAGGCATTCTTCAGGCCATTAGTCTGCTGTCTATCATCAGCTTTCCAGTTGCTCCCTTCCTTTGTGAATTCCTCGACCTTCTGTGAAGCCATTGCCATGACCCCTTTCATGATTCCCCATGTCTTCTGCCCAATTTCAGTGGTCTTTGCTGTCACCACACTAACTGTTTCGTTCATTTTTTGATCATATCCTCCTTCATGCATCTGTAATTTGAACAAAAGTTGAGACTTGAATGAATGAATTCAATTTTATTACATCAGTAGTAGTCAAAGAGCCACAGACCGAGGTACAAAAAAAACTTTTACATTAATAGAGAATGAGATGAGAGTATATTCTACTTTCTACTGAAATAAAGGGCCTACATAAAATTTAATTTTTAGTAAGAAATTTATGACAACGTAGAGAAAAAGTTCACCATTGAATGCAAACTATAGCTCCTTCATGCATCTGTAATTTGAACAAAAGTTGAGACTCGAATGAATGAATTCAATTTTATTACATCAGTAGTAGTCAAAGAGCCACAAACCGAGGTACAAAGAAAACTTTTACATTAATAGAGAATGAGATGAGAGTATATTCTACTTTCTACTGAAATAACGGGCCTACATAAAATTTAATTTTTAGTACGAAATTTATGACAACGTACAGAAAAAGTTCACCATTGAATGCAAATTATATAAACATTCGAATATGGGAAGTTCAAATTTCATTAATTCTCCCACGTAGTGACGAGAATATAAATCAGGTTTTGCAATAACGAGGATTTCACCCACCACCCTGATGAAAGCATCCCAAGTTCCCAGCATTTAATTAGTCTTCAAATTTTATCAGATCACTGTGAATCCGTCAAACAATCACTATAATAAAGTTCAAAATTAAATTAAAAAAAAGAAAGAACTTAAACAGAATCAAAATCAGCGTAATAAGACATTTTTATATTTTTCTCATTAAAAATGAATGATAACAAAACATCACATTCTAAACCACGTTTTATACTTCCAAGCAACTCACGAGGCATAAAACAAATCATTATTTTCATAGCAATTAGAATTTATAAATTTAAACATGCATTAGCCCAGTGCCCATGTTGACTTGAGCTCAGATTGCAGACCCGCTGGAGTGAGTTGGCCGTTGTTGGGTAACCATCTCTATGGATGAAAACGTGCATTTCACATTTTAAGAATCAAAATAGTTATATATTCTTATTTAATATGAAAGATTAGGTTGATATACATGTAAAAAACAAAATTTAGGTGCCAAAATATGCAAAAGTTGTGCGGTTTGTATGTAAAAGTTGTAAAATATGAAGTCTTTATCAATAACCTCAAGGCTATTAATAACTAGTTCCACATTCATTAAAGTTTCATGGAATATACTCACAAGTAACTCTAATACATTTAAGCCTCTATATTTGGCAAGAGTAATGCTACACTATTCATCCTAAGCCAGAGATAATACTTCACAAGTATTTGACAAAAAAAACTTCAGTGCAATACACAATTATGACCTATTTTGAGAATAATAACAACAATAATAAGCAAACGGTAACCCACACATGTCAAATTCAAAAAATCCAAAATTACAATTTTATCATCATAAATATTAAGCACCAACTAGCCTTTCAGCACGGACACGTTCAGGTATCAAAACATTAAAAACAAGGGGGTCAAGGAATCAGGAAACAAAATACAAGACCAAGTTTCATATACAATAATATTTATTGGTCTAGAGGTCCCCAATCCTTTTCTCACAGATCTTTATATTAAGAAACAAAAAACCTTGAAAGAGAAGCAAAGAGTACTAATGGAAACCACCATCACTCCACCGAGAACCAGATTTAACGCCCTTTCCCGACGAGCTGTGGCGGTGCTTATCATCTTCGTCAGAGTCCTCATCCTTCACATCGTCCCACCCAGCCCAATCATCGCCATTTTGACGACTCTTCCCAGGCCCGCCTTTCCTATCCTTCTCGTCCCAGTCATCCCACGTGCTCGTAGAATTGTATTGTCCCCTTGAATGTTCGTTGGGCAAGCCACCACTGCCCTTCCCTCCAAAGTCATGATAATAGGCATTCTTCAGGCCATTAGTCTGCTGTCTATCATCAGCTTTCCAGTTGCTCCCTTCCTTTGTGAATTCCTCGACCTTCTGTGAAGCCATTGCCATGACCCCTTTCATGATTCCCCATGTCTTCTGCCCAATTTCAGTGGTCTTTGCTGTCACCACACTAACTGTTTCGTTCATTTTTTGATCATATCCTCCTTCATGCATCTGTAATTTGAACAAAAGTTGAGACTCGAATGAATGAATTCAATTTTATTACATCAGTAGTAGTCAAAGAGCCACAAACCGAGGTACAAAGAAAACTTTTACATTAATAGAGAATGAGATGAGAGTATATTCTACTTTCTACTGAAATAACGGGCCTACATAAAATTTAATTTTTAGTACGAAATTTATGACAACGTACAGAAAAAGTTCACCATTGAATGCAAATTATATAAACATTCGAATATGGGAAGTTCAAATTTCATTAATTCTCCCACGTAGTGACGAGAATATAAATCAGGTTTTGCAATAACGAGGATTTCACCCACCACCCTGATGAAAGCATCCCAAGTTCCCAGCATTTAATTAGTCTTCAAATTTTATCAGATCACTGTGAATCCGTCAAACAATCACTATAAAGTTCAAAATTAAATTAAAAAAAAGAAAGAACTTAAACAGAATCAAAATCAGCGTAATAAGACATTTTTATATTTTTCTCATAAAAAATGAATGATAACAAAACATCACATTCTAAACCACGTTTTATACTTCCAAGCAACTCACGAGGCACAAAACAAATCATTATTTTCATAGCAATTAGAATTTATAAATTTAAACATGCATTAGCCCAGTGCCCATGTTGACTTGAGCTCAGATTGCAGACCCGCTGGAGTGAGTTGGCCGTTGTTGGTTTTTATCAGATTGCAGACCCGCTGGAGTGAGTTGGCCGTTGGTTTTTTTGTAGATTTGATACTAAGATATACACAATAATATATTAATGTAAGTAATTATCTTTGATATATTAAGTAAATTGATGTGTAAGCATAAAATATTTAAAAAAAAATATCACAAAATCAATTAATTTTAATTTATTCAAATGTAAGCATATTAAAATATCTAAATAATCAACTTCAACGCGTACAATCAAGAAGAACTTGTGGTTGGGATCCCTCTGGCACTCCATCATCATAGGTATCTGATTTATCAAAACCCCAACCCATGTTAAAATTAGGCCGGGTATACTTTTAGAGTTTACCAGATGGCTTCCATCCATTGCTATCATTAGATTTTTCAATTAAGAATTCATGTTTCTGTTTGAATTTCAATTGCTGCATGTGCTTCAGCAATACAAAAACTTTTGGCCCATTTAAACCACAAATTCAATCCAGAACACATAAAAGACTTTTGAGCCATTTTGATCACAATTTTAATCCAAGCCACATGTAAATAGATATGACTAGCTTGACTATGATTTGCAAATAATAATTACATGTCATTATCATCATTATTAATAAGTTTATCCCAACTATTAGCAACAGCCTTTATAAATCATCCTCTCCATGTTCCATTTGTTCAAACCAACTATCTTCTATATGCTATGATATTAATTTTATTTACCCCTTTTTTTGGTTGATTTCTCGTACAAGCTCCAGCCACTTACCATCCTATGCTCTAGCCATCCAAATATTATACACATGACGGAATCCATCCTCCGCTTGAAGCCCGCCAGAGCCCTTGCCCAACCATTGTCGGCCACCATAGATTGCCCTCCGCTCAAATGTTTTAAACTGCATTCCTTATCCATTATCCTAACCCAAACACAAAATTACAAATTCATGTATTTACATTGTATTCATCTAAATAATAATATTTATTTTTCAATACACTGCAATTACTATTCACTATATTTCTTATACACTACATTCCTTTTTCAGCAAGCCAAACAGCCCCTTAGTTTTAGCCCAAAGCGCTGATAATCAGCCTGATTGGAATTTACCTCAAATCACACCTTCCACCATATAGAATCAAGGAGATGGTGGCAACCAAGCAATTATTTTTAATGCTTCTCTCCATATTTTAAGTTTTTTTCTTCTTCATAGTCATCTCACTTCTTTTCTTATTCCTCTATCCCTTTCAACACTATTTTGGTTGACAAGAATCGCTGATAATTAGAACTTCGAAATTTTAAGGGTTTGAAAACCACCTCATTGTGAGAGGATAAAATGGCATTTGACTTAGGAAGCATCTCTCTTAATTGCATGAGAGAAATAAAAAAATAATATAAAATAATTTCATATGAAAGGCCATGGTTTAAACTTTTTAAATTAAAAATGCGCCTCAATGGTAACTTGCATAAAGAAAAAAAAGTGAAAAGGATATACGCTTTATGCTTACCAAAAGACATGTATAACTTAATGGGTGTGTGGTACATCTCAAGTTCTCATTAACACAATTTTAATGCAGTTTAGAAGAGGTGCTTCCTAAGCCAAAGCCCAAAAAATTGGAGTTCATACAATTTTAAAATTTTTAGTTATAAACTTTATACACAAAATTAAAAAAATGTTTACTATACCAAAACAAAAGCAAACCAAATATGAGAAGAATCACACAGCCTTAAAATCGCACTTGCACGCTACATGCCCATCACACCAACTACCAATACTATTGTGTCACAGCTATTGTATCATTACCATTGTTCTGCCATCATCGCTTATGCTCCGACACCTCTCACCCAACTCCTTATTTTTAGTATGAGGCATAAAAGAAAGCAATTAACTACAACAATGAGTGAAATAAAGAACCTCTCAATGATAAATAGATAAGACTTTTACATGCCTAAATTATGAACTGAGATTACTTGTTCATGTTGAATCGGTAGAGGGAGGACTTGTAATATAATGCTACTTGTAGCATTGTATGATTTTTAATGGCCTTACTTTGACCGTTTGATGGTTTTAATCTGACATATTTCTTTAGGGTTATTACAATAGTTATTATTTCATTTTATTATTACTTCGATGATTTAATTCTGAGAAATATACCTCAAGACTTATGCCTCTACCTTTTTCTTGGATTAAATTATAATACAGACTATTATTATGTTGTTCGTTCTACTTCCAAAATGATTTCTTCTTCAAGACCTAAATTAAAAAATTACTCTTGTATCATTTTCATCATTCATTAATTTATTCAATAAAATCAAATTATCCACATTTTAAATGCATTTAACTTGATCAAACTCTTATATCTCTTTATCTTTTAATTAGTTATTTTATACCACTCCTTATCCTTAATACCTAGTATAATATACAAGCATCATAAGACATTTTTTATTTGCTGCACTATATGTGAAACTATTACTTTTTTTGTATCAAAAGACGTCTTTTATTATCAATTTGATGATTTATTTCTGAGAAGTATACCTCAAGACTTAATCCTCTTACATTTTTTTTGGATTAAATTATAATATAGACTACTATTATGTTGTTCATTCTACTCCCAAAATGATTTCTTCTTCAAGACAATTTCTCTGGTATCATTTTCATTGTTCATTAATTTATTCAATAAAATCAAATTATCCTCATTTTAAATGCATTTAACTTGATCAAACTCTCACATCTCTTATCTTTTACTTTGCTATTTTATATCACTCTTTATCCTTAATGCCTAGTATAATATTCAATTCATCATAAGACATCTTTTATTTGCTACACTATATGTGAAACTAATACTTTTTTTTATCAAAAGACATCTTTTATTATTAATTCGATGATTTAATTCTAAGTATACCTCAAAACTTACGCATCTTACATTTTTTTGGATTAAATTATAATATAGACTATGTTGTTCGTTATACTCCCAAAATAATTTCTTCTTCAAGACCTAAATTAAACAATTTCTCTGGTATCATTTTCATCGTTCATTAATTTATTCAATAAAATCAAATTATCCTCATTTTAAATGTATTTAACTTGATCAAACTCTCATATCTCTTATATTTTACTTCGCTATATTATATCACTCTTATCCTTAATGCCTAGTAAAATATACAATTCATCATAAGACATCTTTTATTTGTTACACTATATGTGAAACTATTACTTTTTTGTATCATAGTAAGCGGACAGCAATTTTACATTTTTACAACACTTTAAAAACATATTCGTTTGCTTAATAATCTTTTAGACCTAACTCTCAACACTCCCTATAAAAATGTATTACCAGGCTTCAAAATTTTCTATGGTAATCTTTTAAATAAACTATCTTCTCACATCAAGTTGGCTCAAGTGCCAATAACAATATGAAAGATTAACACCTTCGCATTCTGATTGTTACACCAGTTTATCAATGAGAAAATATTTTTTTAAATCATCTTTTTCATACTCCTACAATTTACATTCATAAAAACTACTCTATGCTATGCAGACAAATGTTCTATAAATTTTAAATTAAGTTACAACTTTTGTTAAATGGCATATCTTTCATCCTAACAAAAGAAAACTTCACTTATTTTTTGAAGCTCTAGTTTTTAAGCTGGTACTATTTTCATTTCTTAACAACACATTTTAATCTCCTCTTCCACCATTGTATATCCTGTTATATTTCATACTATTATTAATACCTATAAGTTTATTTAATTCATCCTGATATTATCAGCTCTTTTTCAAATAAACATTATAATAATTCATCCATGAGTTCCTAGAATTAGTTTTTCAAACTATTTTCCAGTCTAGACATCATCCTCATATCCCTCGCATTTGGGACATCATTTCACCATTCTTCATTGTTGTGTTACCTAAGCATGTCTTTCACAAATCATACGAAACAATTTCTATCCATATTACTTTTAGGTCTACCCATTTTTCTTCCTAAGACAACAACTTTAATTTTATGGAAAATTTACATACATACCACTCAATTCCATGTATTTACTTATCTAACACCTAAACTTCAATTTTTACACATGGTCACCTTACCTATGCATGAAATGTATTTCACCACTTAAATGTTAAAATAATGGTATTTTTATGTGACAATGAAGATTTGGGTAATATGAATATAAAAAGTAAAGTTAAGGTTGTAGATATGTAGATATGTAGGAATTGAAAGGAATGTATGTAATGTTGTGAAAAACGACGGCAATAAAGTGAAAAATCAGATCGAGAAAAATTACACCAGAAAAAAGGCGATACAAGATTTACGTGGTTCAGCAAATTGCATAA